AGGTTGGTCTTGTGGAAATCCCTTTTTTACAAGGGTTTGGTTCTAGTCCATTTTTCAGTTCATCTTTTGTATTAGTAGAAGTTGTTTACACATTCTGTATCAATCCCTGCATTGTTTGATAGAGTATGCCTAGGAATTCGTTATCTGAATGTGCTTCTTTTTCAATCTTGTGTGCCTATGGACTTTTGTCCCTCATTTGAAAGTCCTTTTTCTAACCTGAGGCCTTACATTATTTTCTAGAAACTTTATCTTTTTATACTTAGCTTTAAGATACACTTGTTTGAGTGCGTTATAAATTGTTTGGGGAGGGGGTTGTTTGTTTGCATGTATAAACCTAATTGTCCATACACCATTATTTAAAAAACCAGCATTTTCCTGTGCAGCATTTCTTTTGCAGTAAACCAGATATCCATGAGTCTCTTCTTGACTGTTATATTCCATATAGTGCTCACGTTGTGACCACGTGTGTTGACTTAACATAATTTGAAGATGGATAATTAAGATATGGTAATGCAAGTCCCTCTCCCATCCCTACCTTATTCTTTAAATTTCTCTTGGTTTTTTTATGGCCCTTTATTTTTTACTATAAATTTTAGAAACAAACTGTCAATAACACCAAGGAAGAGAAAGCTTTTCAGGCTTTTGATTTGGCATTGAAACTATATTGGGAAAAAATAGCACCTTTAAAATACTGAGTCTTCTATGAATATGGCATATCTTTCCATTTATGTAGGCCTAGGTCACCTTGAATTTCTGTATTCTAGTTTTAAATGGGTCTTGCATATTTTCATGAGTTTTATTACAAGGAATGTTATTTTCAATAAATACTGTCTTACAAAATTTTATTTTTCAATTGTCAGTATATAGAAAGTTTGGTTTTACATGTTGAAATTGTACTCAACAATGTTAAACTCATTTTTAATAATTTTTAAGATTATTTTCATTATAAACACACACCATCCTAATTGGAGACAAATGGCAGTTTTCTTCCTAAAGGTCATATATTTAATGTTCTTGCTTTTGCTGATGGCCATGGGCCACATGTTGCCCAGGATGGCTGTGTATGCAGCCCAACACAAAATCGTAAATTTACTTGAACATTTGAGGGTTTTTTGTGACTATGTGTCACAACGTATTTAATGTGTAACCCAAAACAACTCCTCTTCTTCCAGTGTGGCACAGACACACCAGAAGGTTGGACCCTCTGGTTAGGACATGCAGTAATAATACTGCATAGAAGTAACCCTTAGTCCTTCCCTCACAAGGAAAACTGTTGTTCCTCCTTTATGTTTGCTATAGATTTTCTGCAGATAATCTCTGATAATATTGAGAACAGATTTTCCCAGTTGCTCTGAGTTTTAAGTGATTTCTCTTGAGAGGATTGTGGTTTTCCTCCCACATTGTTAATAATGTGAATTAACAGAGACTTTTTGTTGACAGTTTAAACTAAATTTGTATTCCTGGAATAATGATCAATGTTTGATAGAATTTACTGCTATAAAGCCATTTGTGCCTTAACTGCAAAGGTTTTTAATTACAGATTCAAGTACTTTACAGACACAGGATTGTTTGGGTTTTGCCATCAGTTATGGTGTTTTCTTAAGGAATCTGTTCATTTACATTTTTAAGTAGATTAATGTAAAATTGTTGCTGATATCACTTAGTGACTATTTTAATGTCTGAAGATTTTAAACAACTGTCCTCTTCATTCCTGAGATTTTTTTTCCTTCTTCTTGCATCTGTTTTTTGTTTCTCTTCTCCCTCTACCTTCCCCTTCATTTTCTTTCACAATTTTGTTAGCTCTTTTCCTTTCAAAGACCAACTTATGGTTTTGACATTTTCTACAGTGTCATTTTTATTTTATCAATTTGTGTTAATTCCCTCGAAGAAGTGTTTAAGTGTGATTTCTTTTTCCTGATATAGGAATTTAAAGTTATGAATTTACACCAAGCATAGTTTAAGTTCCACTCTCACAACTTTTGATGTGAAGCATCATTTAGTTAATGCATATTTTAATTTCCATTGTACTTCAGCCATGGTTTTTTGATGTGCATTTCTTGATTCAAATATGATGATTTCTAGTTATCTTTTTATTATCGATTTCTACCTGAAATGCATTTTAGACATTCCAATTGTAATCCTTTGAAAATGGTTAAATTTTCTCTGTGATCCCGTGAGTCCACATCCGAGGCTCCTTCTGTTACTTGTGTAGAGTCGTCATATCCTAGTTTAGACTTGTACATTCCTCCTCGAACTCAGTTTTCTCCTTATATGTTTGGAAACCCATATTATTAGGTATATATGTACATTTGGAACTTTCTTGGAAAATCTCAGATTTTATTTTCAGTACTGCTTTTGTTAAAGCCTGTTTTGATGGTCGTGTTAGCATTCTTCTTAAGATGTTTGATGTATCTTTCTCTTCCTGCATTGGATTTGTTGAGCATCTAACATGGTAACTCATTGGTTTTCATTATTTTAAAAATTATCAGTCATCTCCTTAAATATTGCCTGTCTCATTCCTCTCTGCTCTCCTCTGATCTATGACCAAGCTAATTAGACCTTTGCTGGCTATATATAGCCAAAGATATATATATGTCTTTCTCCTTTTGTCATTTCTGCCGACTCATCAGTTATCACTAATCTAGTATTATACCCATCTATTGAGTTTGTTACTTCATTTCTTAATTCTAGAGTTTATTCCCACCCACCCCCAACCTATTTTTTTTAATGGTTTACAGCACAGGTGGCAAACATAAGGCGCACAAGCCGATTCCAGCCCAGCACCTTGTTTCTACCTGGCAGCAGTGCCAAGCTCTCACTTAACTGTTATGGAGCAGTTACATTTATACAGTCCTAAAATTACAGTTGGGCCCTTGAAGGCAACTGGGAAGCCAGTGCAGCCCCCGGTGAAAATGAGTTTGACACCCCTGGTTTACAGGAATATAAATGAGAGACCCATGTGAGTGGGAGACTTACCAGTTCATGTCTTTGGTAATTGTGAAGTATAATTTTTTAATACAGTGTAGCCAGCCCTATTTGTTGAAAAGACTTAATTGGCACCACTGTGGAAAACAAGGTGTTGGTCTCTTTCTGAATTCTGTTTAATTAGTGTGTCCTCACACCAATACCACATGGCCTTCAAATCAGGTAATGTGAGTTTAACACCTTTGTTCAGTGGTCTTTTAACCTGGGACCACAGGCTCAACTATATGTCATAGGCAAAGAAAGATGTATGGTTACCCATCCTACAGTTGACATAGGGTTAATATTCAGAATATGTAAACCCTTAGGAAAAACAAAAAAAAAGATTTTGATTAATCCTCAACAGAAGAAATAGAAATGGCAAATATATGAAAAGGAACATACCTACAAGGTTAGCTAAGATGTGTAATTAAGTGTTAGGATGTGTATAAGCAAACTCCCATACATTGCCAGTGGGAATTTAAACTGTTAAAAATCACTCTGGAAAACTTCAGCAGAAGCTAATGCAGGTGAACATACACATCTCCACATCTTAGCAGTTCTTCTAGGTTTGTTAAAGTTGGTGGTGCTGTAATGTGGTCTGAAGCCCCAGTTGGTAGGGGTGTCGGTTCTGGAAGCTCATTAGGAGGGGCTCTGGTGCAGGCCACCTGGTGGGATCTGTGGTTGGGCTTGGAGATGCTTGCTGTGAGCTGAGGCCAGCTGCCACTAGTACCAAGGCTGTGGCCCTTTGTGGGCACTATGAGGAGAGTTCAGGCCAGCCACTCGTGCTGGGCTTGGAGCTGCTTAGCAAGAGGTACAGGGCACGCAAGACCAGCTGTTGCTTGTTTGGTTGGTGGACTTTTGAGAGATTTTAGGAAAGTCAGCAGCATGAACCTGGTCAGGCTGCTTATTGTATGGGAAAACGGCTGGAAGTGGCTTGGACTAGGTTTGCAAGTTGGGTGAGATGAAGCCTAAGGGAGTCAGTCACCAGAGTGAGGCAAACGTGTTAGCCAGGTTAATGGAGAGTAGAGATTTGGCACCTGTGACTGGGTTGACTGGGGCGAGGGCTCAGCAAACAATGGTGCCTGCCAGCACTTCCATCCCAGACAGCTCCCCTGACTCCATCCAGTCCTCGCACTAGCTGGTCAATTCAGTGTGTTTCTGTATGTCCTTGGTGCTGGTCTAGCTCCTTCCCCAGTGCTGGATCCCAGAACAAGTGAGTCTGAGTGCAAGCAAGATTGTGCTTAAACATTTTTTAAGTAAAGTACACTTTAAAATAATGATACGGAAAAATATAAAAGTTATTATAAATAGTACTATAAACAGCAACAATCATTTATAGTCATGTGCTGTCCTTTTACACAACCACAGAGCACTAGGTTTGTTTACATGAGTGAGGTGTTGTACCATGACATACAAGGCTAGAATGTTACTAAGTTAGAGGAAGTTCTCAACTCCATTGTAATGTTATGGGACCACCATTGCATAGCAGTCCATCGATGACTGAAACGTGGTTAAGGGGTACATGACTACACAGTATAGGTGAAGGAAATGAGAAGGGACTGAAAATGCATTGCCACAAAAAACAACTAAATACAAAGACCACAATGTATGAATCAGGGGAAAAAAGCTTTAAGACATATAAAAAACAAAATGACACAAGTCCTTATCACTAATTACTTTTATGTAAATGGATGAAATTCCCCAATCAAAAGACAAATTTAAATTGGCAAAATGAATTATAAATATAAAACCAGGATCTAGCTATGTACTGTCCACACAAGGCTCACTTTAGTTCTAAGGACAGATACATTCAAAGTGACAGGATAGAGAAAGAGAACAAGGCTGGCTATTATATCAGCCAAAATAAACTTCAAAGACTTAAAGGATACAAGGACATTATATATTGGTGAAAGGATCAATTTGCTAAGAAGAACTAACTTACAGACACACATGCATCAAACAGCTCCAAAATATATGAAGCAAACACAAAACTTAAGGGGAAAAATATATTTTTATAATCGTTGACTTCAGTGACCCAGTATCAATAATGGATTAAACAACAATATATGCCACCTGGACTTAACATATGTATAGCTTCCAACAACAGCAGACACATTTTTCTCAGGTGTGCATGGAACATTCTCTAGGACTTAATTATATGTGAGCCCCCAAACAAGTCAGTGAATTTTAAAACTAAAATCATACAAAGTATCTCATCTAGCCAATGCAGTGAAACCAGAAAATAGCAGAAACTGAGAAATCGACAAATATATATAAATTAAATAACACCAAATGGGTCGAAGAAGAAATAAGACAAATTAGAACTCTTGAAATAAATGAAAATAAAAACCAAAATGTAGGGGATGCTGCAAAAGCAGTGCTAAGAGGAAGTATATAGTACCTGTAAATGCTCAACATTTGTGAAGGTCTCAAATCAGTGAACTCAGAATCTGTTTGGGACTGAAAAAACAAACAGTAAATCCAAAACTAGCAGAAGGAATTAATAAAATATTACAGCTGAGATAAATAGAAAAACAGAGAAACCATGAGTTGGTTCTTCAAAAAGGTTAACAAAATTGACAAAAAGGCTAAGAAAAAGAAGTGGGGACAGTATTTCCCATTTTGTAGAAATGAAAAATTACAAGTATGAGGAACAGTTGTGTATCAACAAACTGAATATGCTAAATGAAAAGGGCAAATTTCTGGAAACATACCAAGACTAAAACTGAATCATGAAAGAACAAAATATGAACAAGGCCTATAGCTAGGAGGAGATTGGATCAGTAATGGGTGTGGGGGGTGCGGAAAGTTCCAACAGATAAGAGCCCAGGGACAGATCACTTCACTGCTGAATTCTACCACACATTCAAAGAAGAATCAACACCTGTTCTCAACTCTTCCAAAAAAAATTTTTGGAAGAATAGGAAACACTGCCTAACGCATTGTACACGGCCAACGTTACCCCAATACCTGAGTCAGATAAAGATACAACAGGAAAATTACAGAATGATACGCCTTGTGAATACTGATGCAAAAATCCTCATTACAATAAATAGCAAGGCAAATTCAACAGCACATGGAAAGGATTACACACCCTGACAGCAGGGTTTAGTCTTGGAGGGATATTGAACATACAAAACCAATGTAACGCACCATACACTAACAGGACAAAGTGAGGGGGAAACATGATCATCTAAGATCAGGGGTGTCCAACCTGTGGTCCAAACAAAATAATAAATTCACTTAAAACATTACGATTATTTTTGAGATTACGTGTCACAATGTATTTAATGTATAGCCCAAGACAACTCTTCCTTCCATTGTGGTACAGAGATGCCAAAAGAATGGCCATCCCTGAAAGCAGACGCAGAAAATGCACTTGACAAAATTTAGCACCTTTCATGATAAAGTCAACTAGGAATAGAAAACATCTCAACATGAAGGTCACATAGGAAAAAGCCACAGCCATACACAATGACATAAAATTGAACAAGACAGGATACCAGCTTTTCCACTTTGTCCAATTGACCTGGCTAGAACTGCCAATACTTGGATAAATTTTCTTTTAAAAGGCATTCAAACTGGAAAGGAAGTGAAATTATCTGTTTATATTTATAAAACCCTAAAAATGACAGAATATATCCTGCAAAGTTGCTAGATACAAAATCAACAAATAAAAATCAGTTGTTTATACATTGCCAACAATGAACAATCTCAAAAGGAAAATGAGAAACGATTACTTATGTAATAATATCAGACAGTAAACTACTGGAGTAAACTAAGGAGATGACAGACATATACATTGAAAACTACAAAACACCCCCAAAAGAAACAGAAGATAATGAAAAGACATCCACTGCACTGAAAGATACATTTGTTAGGATGGCAGTACTACATGTGGCAATCTACAGAGTCAGTGCAATGCTTCATCAATTTTAGTAATGTTTTTAACGAAAATATAAAATTCACATGGAATCTCAAGGGACCCCTAATAGCTAAAACAATCTTGAAAATAGTTTAAAGGCTCACACTTCCTGTTTTTAGAACTTCAAAGCCATAATAAAACAGTATAGTACTGGCATAATGATAGATGTAAACCAGTGGATCAGAATAGAGAGTCCAGGAGTAAACCCTTGCATAGATGGTCAAATAATTGATAAGAATGTTCAATGGGGAGAGGAGATCCTCCCTTACTCCCAAGACAAATGGTCCTAGGAAATCAGGAAAACCATATGCAAAATAATGAAGTTGGGCTCTTGACTAACACAGTATAGTATACAAAAATTCAGGACCCCCCCCCAAAAAAACTAAACACGAGCTAAAACTAAAACTCTTGAAAGAAAATGGGGAAAATCATGAAATTAGATTTGGCAATGACTTGGTTATCACAACAAAAGCACAAGCTACAAAAAAAATCAGATGTAATCAAAATTAAATACTTTTGTACATCAAAGGGTACCATCAACAGTGAAAAGGCAACCCAAAGACTGGGAGAATATAAAACATTTATAAAGAATTAACATCCAGAATTTAAAAAACTCCTACAACTCAATACATAATACATAAAACAACCCAATTAGAAAATTAGCAAGGAACTTGAGAAGACATTCCTCCAAAGGTATACAAATGGGCAGTAAACACATAAGATGCCATCACTAATCATTAGAAAATGCAGATCAAAACCACAATAAGAATGTGCTGATTCACACCCATCAAAATGATTTTTACAGACAAAAGAAAATAATGGAGAAATTCAAACCCTTGTGCATTACCAGTGGAATTGCAAAATGGTATAGTCACTATGGACAACAGTGTGGCAGGTCCTCAAAAAATGAAACATGGACTCTTCATCTGATGCAGCACTTCCATGTCTGGGGGCACATCCCCAACGAACCCAAATAGGGACTCGGATACTTGCACTCCTGTGTTGCCAGCAAGCAGCCCTCATAATAGGCAAGAGTACAAACCCAAGTCTTTGTGATAGGTAAAAAAAAAAAAACAATGGGAGATCTATATATTCATATACAATGGTATGTACTATGCAGCCTTACAAAGGAAGGAAATTCTGATGAACCTGGGACACATGCTAAGTGAAATTAGCCAGGCGCAAAATATGTATAGTATTTTTCTACTCATGGGGTGTATTTAGTCAAGTTTATAAAAAAATAGAACGGTGATTGCTAACAGTTTCAGGCACTGGGGTGGAATGGGAATTACTGTCTGATGGGTAAAAAATACAAAAATCAACAAAGCACATGACGACATGGATCTGTAAACACAGTATTAGCTCAAACAAGTAAATATGGAGACAGAAGAGCAAAACCCAAGAGGGTGACTTGCTCTGGGAGTCAGGACGGTGGTGGTGCTGCCCCTGGGGTTAAGGGGGGGGGCACGATTTTGTAGGGCTGCAGCCATGGCTTTTAAGCTACTGATGAACAGGTGTCTTTGCTTAAAAAGTAGGTATACAGGTGCTTATAATTATCCTTGGAACTGTAATAATGGTTTTTTTGTGAATATTCACTTTTTAGAAAGCAGTCAGCCCACCCACTTATCATCACCACCACCCCCCAAAAAAGAAAAGCAAGCCTTCTCCATGTTTTACTTACCAGATGGTTTATAGTTTGAAGGCTGGAAAATCTAAAAATGCCAGTGATTACTTTTCAGTCTTCTCACTGAGGATTTTTTCCCCTCAAAATAGCATCTATCCTGCTTTTTCTCTCAGCAATAAAATACTTCCAAACATTTTATTCGCCCAGGTGTTTTGAGACTACTATGCACATCACCACGCCTGTATCACTCCTCCGCCCAGTATTCACTTCTCATGAAATAAAACATTCACTGGATGTGAGTCAAATGCCCTTACAAGCTTGTCATACAATATCCACAAATGCTTATCTGGTAGAGTTTTCATTGTATGTGAAACACTGTTTTGATGCAAATATGATTGCTTGTTCACATCAAATTAACAATAACCAATAAAATCTGAGCTTATTTAGCGCCACCAATTCCAACAGAATTTTTTAATCCCTGAAGATAAAACAGACACAGATAGGTATAGTATTTAATTGAAATATATTTGTCTAATATCTACAAAGTGTGAACAATTGGTCTTAAGAAAGCAGACAAAAGGCACAAAATTAGTATTACTACAGAGAAGCATTCATGCTACTGGATTTTATAAATATTCTCAGAGTGGCACAGTAAAAAATAAATGAAGCATTGAGCAAAAATCAAATGTGTCATTTTTTCTCCCTTGCTTTATATTCTAGTCAAGTCTTGACCTCATTTGTAAAGGCTGAACACTGAGATTCAACTGAAACCAGGGAACGCTTAGGCGGGCTTTATTTTAATCACAGTGGTTTTCTTCAAGAGTCTGGGTCAAACAATAGAGGCGCACTAAAAAAAATGCACATGATATTCTTTTCTCTTTCCCCAAACTAAATACAAGATTGAGGCTGTGGTTGTGCATGGTTCTATATGCATGCATTTATTTAACTTCTAAAGCCCTTTTTTCATCATAAAAGTAGTGTGAAGTTCCTGTATGACTTATTTTCTACTGTAAAAGCAGCTTCAGAAAAAAGTGTATGACTAGTGCTTTGAGCATGAGAAATTATGGGAGGAAAGTTCCAAGATGGGCCTGCTTCTAAGTTCCCCCGGAGGTGCTCCATCCTGAAAGGCTCTCGCTAAACCTTTAATAGCTTCCTGCCCACTGCTCATTCAGTGGAGCTGTTTATCTTTCTGGAGAATGGACAAATGCCGAAGTGGGGAGGGAGGTGGGAATCAATAATTTTGAAATGACAGCCACCTACTTGGAATGAGCCATTTTCCATCAGATGTCAGCTGGGTGATGCCAATTCAATTTTGTTTTGACAGGAGTTGACTACCTTTGTGAGTGCAAAACATTTTTGGCAAAGCGAGAAATAGAAAACGTCGAACCTCATTGATAAAAAGGTGCCCGTAATTACCCACTTAAATCTTAATAAGTGAAGTATTTACATGTGTAATACCCAGCAGATGTGTATATAATGTATGTGTGTGAGCATGTAGTGTGCCAAGAGTCCACACACACCACTGTCCACACACGCCCCAAATGGCTCTTGAATAAATTCAATCCTATAGTAGAGTCTGGGGTTCATTTTTCACAGTATGTAACTTCTCAGGTACCATTTCTTGAACGATATCAAGAGGTCTCAGTGAGTACCAACAGAACCTCGATACTGTACCACTTTAATTCCTACAAAAAGAGGCCTCTTTCTAAAGGCTCCGCACCTCCACGCCATCAGTATGCCTTCCAGAGGGGATTGAAGTAGACCCAGCCATCACCCTGTGAGAAAAAGGAGGAGACATCATTACATGGAGACCTCTCGGCCGGCTGAGGGGAGACACGAGAGTCTTGGGCGCTGCTGGATTGGGAACGGAACACCCTGCGAAGCAGTGCTGTTAGAACCGTCACCGGTACACGTGTCTGACTTGTTCCTGACACCTTGGCCACACCAGGCGGGTGGTCTCCCTGCCCCTCCTCAGCCCAGCTGCTTTTGAAAGCCCATATGATCTTTGCATCCTGGCATTTTAGGAGGAAACGCCACAAAATGACCAAAATAACAAAAGGAGGCTTTGCTGGGTTACACCAAGGAAGATGGCAAAAAAAAACACAACCCTTTTAAACAGCAGGACACTGGGACAGGGGAAGGGGACTTCAGATGAACAGGCAGGAAAGAAAAGGCAAGTGCCTGCCTATGAGGTATCGGCCACTGACCAGTCTGCAGGGACCTGCCCAGCAGGCTGTGGTCACAAGTCAATCACACCAGACCAAGAGGGCGCACAGTCTGGCGCTCCACAAGAAGGGCCTACACTGAGGGGTGACAGTTCTGGGGTTGGGGCGATTTCTGTTCTCTGCGTATCCTCAAGCCTTCTGTTAGGAACACGCTGGCTTCTATCAAACCCAGCGGAACAGCAGTATGTATCCTGTTGTCGCTTTGTTTTTAATGTTCAGCTGCTTGTCTCCGAGACCAGACCCCCGTCACAGAAAGACCCTTGAAGGACTGTGACAGTTAATTTCATACGTCCACTTGGCAGGCACGGGTGCGCAGATCGCACATACTTCTGCGTGCGTCTGCAAGGGTGTTTGTGGATGAAATTAGCGTTTGATTGGCAGACCCAGCAGAGGGGACTGCCCTCCCCAGCACAGGTACACACTGTCCGGTCTGCTGAAGGCCTGAAAAGGAGGATGGGAGCAGGAGGGATTCACTCTTTTTTTCTCCTTCTGCCTCCTTGGATTGGGACAGGGATTTACACTGTCAGCCTCCATACTGTTGTGAGCCAGTTCCTCATGGTGAACCTGCCTGTATTTATGCCTTGTACTGGTTCTGATTCTGTTGTGTTTCTCTGGGGAACCCTGATAATAGTCTCCTCACCTGGGCCAGGCTTCCAGACAGGGCTCCCACTCAGTCTCATAAAGGCAGAGTCTCCCTACCCAGGCTTTCTGTCTGAACCAGAACCAGCCTTGGAGTCTCCAGACCTGAGCCCAAAGCCTGGGGGAACAGGAGCTGCTTCCTGCCCCTGACCAGAAGTCCACCCCAAGGTCACTAACTCACCCACAGCCTTCCAGCCACACACAATAACCCTTCCTTGTAGTAGAAGTCAGGCATGAGCAGCACCTGAGCCAAGAAAGCCCGTTTAAATGGTTTTAAATCCCTTCACATCACACTAATTTCAGATTTCTGGCTTGGGAATAGTGAACAGTCAGCTTGTGGTCATCTGCAGGTAAGGCGGCACCCAGCCCCCTTCAGATGCAGACTCGGGCCCACCCCAGGCCTCACCGGCCTGTTTCTCACTGAAGCTGCCAGACGCCTTCAAAACGCTTCTAGAAACTCACTTGCGTCATTTCTAGTGGTCTCAGAATGCTTCCCGATTGTTCCACAAACCACTTCAGGAGCACAAGGGCCTCAACTGAGCACGTGGTGCCTTGCCCACTGCCCACTGGGTGGGCAGTCTTGGACTTTATTTCTGCCTCCCAACGTCACTCCTGGGTAACAGCGACAGCACGCAGGCACAGGACTCGGGGGAGCCTGCCCTGGCAAGTCAGTCCCACTCAGCCCACAGGAGGCGGAGCTCTGGAAAGGCAGTTCTAACCACGAAGGTTCCGGCCCACCCAGGTGTGGGGATGGGCTCCGAGGTGCTTCGATGACCTGGAGCTGAGGACAGAGCAGCAGGGGATGTGTGGGTTTTTCTGTTTTAAATGACCAGGACAGCATCCAGATCTGCAACCCCATTCCCTGCCCTCCCCGCAGGCGGATGTGCTTTTCTGACGGGGGCTGTCAGAGGGCCAGGGTCAGGTGCTCAGTTTGCCCCCAGGATGACCTGGCCCCAAGCTGGAGCCAGAGCCAAGCAGCCCGAACCTTCCCAGGACCTCTGTCGTCCTCTGTCCAAACTACTGTGTTAGCCAGACAAAGCCATCTGTCCCTCACGCAGGACAGGCGGCAGAGTTACCTCCTGGGTAAAATACTTGGGCTGCCACGGGGTGCGGAGGCTCTCCCGCTTCCGCTCCTCCACCCGCTGCTTCTCCTCCAGGCGCCGCTTCTGCTCCGTGGCAGCGTCAATGTCCCCCAGTCGCAGGTACCGAGTCACCTCCCGCCAGAGGTTCCTGAGGATGCATGGAGGAGAGGAGGGGTTAGCCAGGGTCTCGAGGCTCAAGGACGGCTGTCCTCGGCAAGGGGAGGGGGGCCAGAGCAGGGAAGGGGCCATCTGGGCAGCCCGGAGAGGCAGCGCATTCCAGGTGCCTCAGAGACGGCTGGACCCAGCCGGGATTTGCACCTGAGCCGTAAACTCTTGTCCTGACCACCGCGGCTCTCTCGGGACTCGGACTGTGCAGGGATTGAATCCACAGGTAATAGTAACCTTACTACAACAATGGACACTTACGCAGTGTTAACCGTATTTCTGAGCATTTTACACGTAAACTCATTTAATCACAACCACCCAATAACAGATGCTATATTGTCATCCCTATTTTATTTTAAAGGGCAGGAAAATAGGTCCACATAAGGTGAAGTGACTTGTCCGAGGTCAGCAAGCTGGTGGAGAGGAGCACTGGGTTTCCCACAGGGGGGCCCAGTGTGAGGAGTCACAGGCCAGGATGCGTGTTTAGGGAGGCAGGGTGTTTATGCTACAGGCCCTGTCATCTCCCCCGCATCTGCACGGACGCTCCTTCTCTGTCACACCCACTCACTGTCGAAGGCGGCCTGGACTGGCTCCTGTCTCACGTGCAGTTCCCGCCTCAGGAATTTCCCAGGGCCGTCCCTGACTTGTGCACTGTTCCAGAAGGTGAGGAAAGGAATTAAGGTAGAGCAGGACGCACGCACACCCTCACTTAGACTGGTCGGGACAAGTCAGGATTTCACATGGAAGGAACTCCAAGGCAATTAATTAGATCCTGGGCCAGGGAGCACGCCCACCACAGGGCACCGCGACGCTGTCCACGTTGAGGGCACCTCAGCAGGAAGTTTGAGTGTTGGCAGGATCGGGCTGAGGAGGGGCAGGGGCTGGCAGCAACGCAGGGACGCAATAACCAGACCCTGCTGTGGGGGTGGGGAGTCAGAATCGAGGAGCTGGCGAGGCGCGAGCTCCTGCGGCCCGCTCAGCCTGCCTGCCCGGGGTCCCGCCACACAGACGCAGGGAGGGCGACCCTCCGGCTGCGGTTGGACAGCAGGAGAAGCCTCCGAAGTGGGATACGAGGCCGGGCCAAGGAGCCTCCCAGCCCCTGCTGTGCCCTGTGAGCTGACCTGGGGAAGACGCCCGGCCGAAGCAGCTCAGGGAGGAGAGGGAAGGGAACTGAGGAGCTGGGGGCTGGGTCCTGTCACAGCCTCCATCACCCGCACCCTCAATACACATCCCATGCGGAGGGAGGGGCTGGGCACACAGACATCCAGGGTGGCGGGTGCATGCAAAAAAGCAGGGCCTCCCATGACACGGTCTCACCACAAGATAGTGGCCCCAAGTTTAGATGGCAGGGACCCCCAAGGGCTGGAGAGAGGGTTACTGGGACAAGAACTGGCCCCGGACAGACAGCTCTGGCCAGACACACAGGGACCCAACCAAGACCACTCTCTGGGGGTAGGGACCGATAGGGAGGGGTTAGGGGCTCATCTGGGAAAGAGTAAACTTTGAAAGAAAAAAACAGGTGAAGGAGACCTCAGGAGGGAGCGGGGCAATGAGAAAAGCAGGAAGTCCAGGGGCTTCCTCCCTGAGAAGGGGAGATCATGATAGCAAAGGGCCAGCGGGTGGTGAGTGACAGGGGCAGGGTGTGACTGGTGTCACTGGCTCTGCCTTCACCCAGCCGGGCCCCGAGGGCTCTGGCCAAGGCAGGACTCTACGCGGACCAAATTCCGGGCATCGTGAGCAAATGCATAGGTGTGGGCAAACTGTCTTATCTATTTATCTATCTATCTAAAAATCTCCACTCTTCCCCTGATGGGACAGTGCTTCCCTCCCCTCCAAGGGGGCAAGTGGGGACCAGAGGTCTCACCAGGGCTAGCACCACCACAGTGAGGGCCGGGACACCTGGTCTAACCACTGGCCCACCTGGCCGTGCATGTGATCCCCTGGGTGAACGGGCAGAAGTGTTCTGCCCAGCAAGGGAGCTCCTGGACCAGCCACGCCACCTTGCCGGACTGTTTCCCCTGGGAAAACAAGGTGGGCGGGGCTCGTTTTCCCTGCAGCTCAGCACCATGTTTCAGCAAGGTCCGCAGAGATAAGCCAGAAAGAGGGGGACCAGACCCTCTCCCCACCCCAGGCTGAATTCTGAGTTCCCCTGGCTACGTGAAGCAGCGAAGCGTCTTCAGGAGGAGTAGCTGCCTCACTCCATATCCCTGGAAGAGCAACACAGGCGATCGGTTTTGTTCACCGCCAAACCAGAAACCACGGGGTTCCTGACCGTGGGAAGGCTTCGTTGGAGGCAGTGTGGGCAAGGGGACGGCTTTCTGCCCTGTCACACAGCCTGTCCCTTGTCCCACTACAATCGTCCAATACACTGAACTGAGAAAGCCAATGGTGAGAGTTCACAGCCTACATTTGGACACAGAAGGTCATGCCCACTGTCCTCAAATAAACAGAAGAACAAGAGTGTGCTGGTCCTACAAGGCGGCAAGGGTGCCAGGGGTCGCGAGGCCCTGGTCTCATTCAATTGAGTTACAACGTACTGCTTCTACCCACTGCTGTATTCCCACCGGTGACAAACTCTTGTAAAGGCAAGCCCTTTCAGAGAACCATCTGTAATGTCATTGTCATTCTACATCACTTTCTAAAGAGCAGGTACTGATTTTAGATAAGAACAGGAGGCGGCAAACATGTTCCGTCACGGGCCAGACAGCAAACATGTTAGGCTTCGCGGGCACTAGGGTTTCGGTCACAACTGCTTCCCTGCCACTGTAGCAGGAAAGCAAAGGTAAACGGTAATCACGCCTAAGTTCCCATATAATTTTATAATATCAGCCGCAGGCTAGATTTGGCCCCAGGGCCATAGTTTGCTGACCTCCTGGATTAAAAAATCAAAATAGCAGCTCTGGCTGGGTAGATAAGTTGGTTGGAGTGTAAGTCCCATACACCAAACAGCTGCAGGTTCAATTCCCAGTCAGGGCATATGTCATGCCTATAGGTTCGATCCTCGGTTGGGGCCTGTATGGAAGACAACCAATCCATGTTTCTCCCCTCTTCCTTTCTCTCTAAAAAAAAAAAATCAAAATGGCATACTGGACAAAGAGCACGCCCGTGTGCCCGCATGAACATCACTACAAGGGGCTGCGTTACGTTCATACCCCGCAGTGGGCAGGCAACCCGATCAGACAGTTTACGTTTAACTGTTTCCTCCCGCCGAACAGGCAGGTGGTTGCTGCTTCTTTTAATTCTTTAGTCCATGTTCAATTAAAAATTTTTCTGATTTTAAGAATTTTCCCCTAGAATAGGTTCCCAGAAGTGGGGCCCTAGATTGAACTGAATTAATGAGTGTGAACTACTGATGAGTGTGAACTACTGATCCGCACGGCTAAACCTCACACATTCCTACTCTAAGCTCAGGGTACACGGTGTCAGTTTGATCACACCCTCGCCAGCAGTGACATTTCTTTTTTAATGATGTCGCTAATTGGGTAAGAGAAAGAAAAAGAATAAAGGTATCTCACTGCTTCACTAATTCTTGGATTACTAGCCACTCTCTGTATTTAACTTTGTAATTAAAGCGACAGAGCAGCTGACAAACTCTGGCAGTGCCCAGAGGACAGGCACTGGAAGGCCACCACAGACTCACATTCCACCACCAAGGACGGAACCACCGAAGCTGCAAAGGACCCACCGCCACGTGACACAGAGGGACATTCTAACGCCTCAGCAAGTCAGAGCATGACTCCCGGCCCATTTCCATGCCCTCCGAAGGCTTCCTCCCTGTCCCCTGGGCCGAGTGCCGAGGACAGCTAAGCCGGGCAGAAACAGCCTGACCCCCACCTGGACTCCATGGGCCCCTGCTTCTCCAGAGGCCTGATCCTCTTAGGGCACACGGGCAGCGCGGTCGTGTCAATGACTTTGGTCTCTCCGCTGTTGTAGGTGAACTCCAAGGTGCCGTTCCACTCCCCGTGGGCCTTACAGACAATGGTGTTGGTTGGGTTGTGCTTCACTTCTGCTGTGACCCTGAGTGAATGAACCAAACGAACACGGTCTGTGACGTGATCAAAACACAGAGACTGACTGCAAAAGGCAGACTCGCGATTAGAGAGTTTTTCTATGGGGGGGCATGGAGAGGAATTGTTTTTTAGTGTTTTGCTCAAAGACTAGCTTATACAATGTCATTGTACTATCCTTGAACAAAAAAAGAAAAAAATGGGTGGGAGGTGAATCAAACCTACAGACTAGTTAACGGGCCAGTCTAACGAAGGCTGAACAGAAAACCTAACCTCTGGTGTGGCCTCGAATCGGTACCTTCCCACTCACGGCAGCGGCTCAGGGGGGCCACCTTCGAGCTGGCCGTGAAAGCACCTTTGCAGCGACCCGTGAGCGCCTGCTTCACCCGCCTGGCCCGAGGGAGCACTAGGTCTCCAGCTCTGGGTGACAGCAGGCCCTGGCTCCCTCTCTACCTTGAGGCTTGCAGATTCTGAAGCTTGGAGGATTCAGAAACAGGAACCCAGCTCCAAGCAGCCACGTCTGCAAGGCGAGCTCATCTCTTTCCGATGGCCCAGCTCAGGTTGAGTGTTCAAACGCAGGCTTGGAGCTTTCTGCCTGAGCCCCAGCACAGCCCAGGTCCCTAAGTGGTGAGCAAAGGCTCCCGGACAGCATCAGGAGACTCCAGGCTGCACCCAGGGGAAGGGCCTTGGTGGCGTGCAGGTAAAGGTTTAACAACGGGCTCTCCAGGAGGGAAAACATCCGATTTGCAGCATTTGCGTATTTCTGGGGCCCCAGCACTGCTGATTTCAAGCTACCGACTTGGTATGAGGGGTGGCCCTGGGCAGAAGTGCATGCACGTGCTCAGCTTGTGAGTCGCAGTGTCTGCATCCCAAACTGCTGCTGAGGGTGTCTCACTATAGAAAGTTCTGTAACGAGCAACAAAACCAACGTGTCCTTCTGCCAACAGCAGACCTCGCCTTCAGTTTCTTAGGCTTGTGCTTCCCCAGCTCCTAAGGGGGGCGTGGGCAGGGGGAAGCCGCGATCTCACAGAGGACACGGGACTCAGGAGGTTTAATGGAGCCAACTTAACGCCAACAGGCAGCTCTCAGATCACATGGCCTCCGACCGGGGCAACGGGCCGCGGCCTCGGAGGGAGAGCGACTGTAACAAAGGGAAGCGTCTTTTTTCTCCCGTGTTCTGCTAACAGATCACCAAAGGGTCTCACTGTAGATTTACATGGGGAGGGCTTAATAAAAAACTGCCATGTGAGGAGGGAGAAGAAGCCTGTTTTCAAAAAGGTCTGTTCAAAACTTTCTCTTGTTTTTCAATTCATCCCATGGCTGGAGTCCCATCTCTGATGGAGGAAAGAACTCAGGGCATCGTGATAAAGACAACGACAAAGGCCCCCCGGCTGCCTCCTACCTGTGCACTTTCCCTCCGTAGAAAGGCTTCGTGTGGAATATCACGGTTGCTGAGTACCCCGTCTTGGCGCAGCTGATGCTGACTTTTCCTCCAAGCTCCACCCAGGGGACGGTGAGGATGGAGCGCGCGTAGGCACTGGGCAGGGTGAACACGTACTCCTCCCCGTGTTCCAGGAGCCTCAGCACACCTCCGGGGAGAGAGGAGGGGGTGGTCAGGCACGCAGGTGCGAGAAAAGGGCAGCCGGGCACCCCGAGACACAAAAGAAGCCAAGCAGCCTCCTGCAAAGGGCCTCCCACCTCCACACAGGCTGGCTGCCCATTCACCATGAACTAATCTGCGTGCCCTACTGTGTGCCTACTGTGTGCCAGGCACTGTGCGTGGCACTGAGAATACAACGGTGAACAAGACAGACCCAGTGTCTGCCCTCGGGGAGTAGGGCAGAACAGTGGGCGTTAATTAACCGGCAGGCTAACACAAGGCCGCAGCTGTGAGAAGGTGCCCGCTCTGTCCACTGAGTCACACCAGCCAGGGCCTGACAGGGGAATTCTTAACAGCGGTATGTCCATTTGGGGATACGGAGGCAGTCACAGAGTCTGCGGTGGGTTGTGCACATCAGGGACAAAGAGATCAGTGGGGGCCACCTCCTGCCGCTCATCGTCTCTAGAAAAATCTCTTCCAAACCAACATGAACTTTCCCTCGAGTCCCCAGAAGCCAGCGGGCCCCACCGCTAAGCTGGTGTCAAAAGCATAAGCCAGACCATATTCCTTTGGCTCTTTTCTGAAGATCTTTACGATATAAATGTGCCGACTTATTAAATAACCTATAATTAAGCCTTCACACCACTACTTTGTAGGGTTTCATAAAAAAAATACTTCCCCCCTAATGGGAATAAAAGGCTACATTAAAACTAGACTCACTGATGGGAATCACAAATGAAGGCTCCTTTTTCGTTGGCCTAACAGCTCAGAGAAACTGAAAAATGCCAAATAATCCATTTTTCCCTGCCGACGTTCGTCCTCAAGCTGGGAGACCGTCGTGTTCGATTCCACAAACTGACTTATCAATAAACATAAGGCCGAGCATTAAGGCTTTCACACTGATAAATTTCAATTAGTTGCACACACGATCTCAACCCGAGGAACCGAAAGACTCCGATAGAACCCGCGGCCTGGAAAGCCCAGACGCGGAGAGCGACCCGGGGAACCCGGCTGCTGGCGCCGGCAGCATCCACATTCATCAGCGCCGGGAGACGCGTCACTTCTCCTGCTGGAACTAATTGCCTTTCCCTACAGACTCAATTAAGAGGCTGTGCCATTTTACTGGGCACTGGTTCTGCTATTGTGTTGGGGGCGGGGCCGGGCAGGTTGCGAGAGCAGCGGATGGGCCTCAGCTCCCCGGCCGTGTGGGGGGGACAGGGGAGGTGTCTTTGCTTCCCTGTGGACACGGGGGATGGGGACACCGCATGGCATCTCAATTAGGGGTTTTCAGTGTCGGAGCCTCGGCGTGGGCGGCTGGGGAGACGGACTCTGAGCTGCAGCCTAAGTCAATTCAAGGCATAATGAAGCACTTTATAATGGCATTTCGTAGTAAGCTAAATATGCCACCGCCTAAGGCAATAATTTAAAAGATAAGCCCAAGTATTTACCACACAATTTCAAGGGGACCCATTTAAGATCTAAATTTTACCATGAGAGGGTTGGGAAAATGTTACTTTAAACTCAGTCAAAATACCCATGGAAAGTGCTGGATTCACGCAAGGAACGAGAGAGGACGGGAAGCGCATCCCGCTCCCCCTCGCCCAGCCCTGCAAAGGAGCTCTGAGGACAGGAACCAGCAAACTTGGGAGTCTGGGGGCTCTCACAAGGGTTTTGTGCTGTGAAAAAATACGACCATAGGAGTTTCCGAGCAGCCAGAAAAACGGCAGCAGCAAATTCTCAGCTTCAGGGATGCCCACAGCTGAGGCCTCAGAAAGGGTGGTCCTGGGCCTCCCCCCCACAGCATCGAGCGCTTTGTATGCAGACGCATCTCCGAGCGCACCCGGGGCTGTGCCCCAGGAACGAAAGGCCCAGCCCCTACCTGTCGTGTGTCAGAAACAAGGGAGCCAAGGCCCTGGGACAGCAGGGGTCTACCCTACAGAGACACACAACAGCTGCCAACCAAGGGAGACGGCGAAGAGGTCAGCGCAGGGGACAGGGTGGGAACACCAGGGCCCAAAGCACCCGCCACCCTCAAGCGGAAGTTCCCGAGCAGCTGGGCAGAGGCTGTGGCTTCTGCTGGGGTATGGAGGGTGCCCCATGGAAGGTGTGTCTCAAGTGGAAGGGCTAACAGGATGGACGGGGTGCAGAGACTCGAGGAAAGAGGGGAGAGGTGAGCAAACGTGCTGGGAGGCGGGAGGCACCAAAGCAGCCACACAAGTGGGGGCGTTACCCACCCACCCCCGCGGCACAGCCCGCCCCTGGGGCCCGAGGGTGGCAGGTGCCCTTGGACTTTTCGGTGAGAGCAGGGGGCTTCCCTGGGGCTGGGAAGAGGCGGAGGTTCTCTGATTGAAGACTTCCCCAAATCACTAGAAACAGATCTGCAAAGCTTCACCTTTATCAAAAACTTGTAGTAGATCCCTGCGTGGGCCCAGAGAAGGGAGGCGCCCAGCCCGTGCTGTAAATTAGGAATCTGCGGTTTCCCACGGCTTGACAACTGGCAGCAGGCAGTTCTGCCGCGTGCAGGGGAGTCCCCAGACAGGAACCGGAATGTGTTCTGTGTACCAGAACATCCATTTCGTTTTATCAGATCGTACGGCATTCACTGAACACTTACTCTGGCTAGGCGCAGATTTAAAGTGTGCGTGCGTGTGTAAGAGGGAGGAAGAGAACAGCAACTCGTCCACTCCTACTTCTGCCGCGGGGTCTCCTACCTCCCACCTTCAGTCTGTTCGTCACACAGCAGCCCTTGGGAGGCGGCTAGAACCACTCCACCCTCCACCAACTCTCACCTCACTCAGGGCAGAAACCCAACTTCTTCCAGGCTCCCAAGCCAGCCTCCATGACGGGGCCCCTGCTCCTGGCCTCTTCTCCTCTCCCTACCTGCCACCCTCACCTCTGCTCTGCTCTGCTCCAGCCACACTGGCCTCCTGATGTTCCTAGAACTCGCCAGATACACGCTCCTGCCTGTGAGCATTCAACTTGCTGGGTTGTTTGCTTGGAACACCCACACGGCTTACCCTCTCCCCTCCCCCAAGCCTCTGGTGAGGTACTCCGCTCTCCCTGAGGACCTGCGAGAGGTCCTCTGTGGCAGCAGCCCACTCTCCGCCTTTCCAGCTCTGTCTCACTAGCAGCAGCCATCATCGCCTGTTACACCTCCACTTTCTCACACACATCTTGTGTTCTGACTCGCGCATTAGAACATCAGCTCCCCCAGGGCAGGAACCAGTCTGTCCTGCTCACTCCTGCACATCCAACTCCAGGTACAGTGCTGTTCATCTAGCACATGAACGCATGACCCCACAGATCTGAGTCACCCCGTCATGGAGAAGGAGGTACCTACACAAGAAGCAGTATCTCTAATTCAGGGACCATCTGAGCAAGGTTCCTCCACCAAAGGCCCCTGCCTCCCACGTATCCCGGACCCTGTCTCATAGGCTCTTCCTTCCGCCCCACCACCCACATTTAACACACCATCCTACAGTCTTAAAGTCGCATCAGATGTCTTGTAGGTCGATATGAAAGTTTATTCTAGTATGCTAATAAAACTCAACAGCTGGATGAATTTCCAGATGACATTAAAAGTCAGTGAATGAACGAATCAATCATTCACGGGAAACGGGGGCGGTATCTTTGCAGAACACGCCCTCAATCTCCCACTCCACGGGCTTCAGGTTCACTGAAGGGGGGGGCTGCCTCCCACAGTGTGTTACTTTCTCTGCACACGAGCACACTTCTTCTCCATGAAATACATCCCGTGGGAAATAGAGGCTAAGGAGCAAAATTAAACAGAACGAAATGAGTCTCCCAAGTCCCAAGACCTGTTTGGAAATAAGACTTCACCAGCGCGAACCTCGAGGCATTAGGTGAGCTGCTGCCAACCTGCAGGAACACAGAGCCCCAGATAAGTCAAAACCAAGATTAATACCACTCTCACTCCTTATTACACACGCCAGTGCACAAATCAGTGCAAACACAAACCTCCCCCACAGGGGTCTTTAGCGAGCCTCTTCCTGCCGCGTCCTCCCTGCTTTCAGGAGCCACAGCTGCCTGGGGTGCTGGGACCCAGCTCCCTGCTCAGGGCGCTGCACCACGCGGCACCGCACCACGCAGCACCAAACGACGCAGTCCAGCCCCTGGGCAGAGACCTGCTTACCAGGACCTGCCCTGCGGCCTCAACCCCATCAGCACAGCCCTACTGCAGCTCCCTGTCGCGGCTGTGAGGAGAAGCCTCTGATTCCTGTCTTCCCAAGCCCTCTCAGATCTACAGTGGTGACCACTTATTCATGGTTTCGCTTCCCACCATTTCAGTTAGTTACCTGTGGTCAACAGTGGTCTGAAAATATTACGTGGGACATTCCAGAAGTAAACAATTCACCAGTTTTAAACTGGGTCCCCTGCTGATGAGGAGCATGATGAAACCTCAGCTCCATGCTGTTGGGCCAGGGTGTGAATCATCGCTTGGTCCTGTGTGTGTGTATGAGTGTGTGAGAGTGTATGAGTGTGTGCGTGTGGTGTGATACTACCTGCAGTTTCAGCACCTACTGGGGTCTCACAATGTACTGCCCATGGAGAAGCAGGAACCGCTGTATTGCAATCAGCTTTTCTCCAGCACCATTCCACTCACGTCCCTCCTGGGTCACCATTGACCTCAGTCCAAAGCCAATGGTCAGTTTTCACTCCCCATCTTCCCAGAACAGAACAGCAGCATCTAAGTCAGCTGATCCTGTCCTCCTCAGAAAGGCTGCACTCGGCTGGCGGGAATCGCCTTCTCCCACCCCGTCTACCTCTCGGCCCTCAGTCTCCTTGACTGCTGCTCCTCGGCCTTTGGGCCTCTCGATGCTGGAGGCTACAGGAGCAGTGCTCGTTAAGCAATCTCCTTAGGCTCCAGACCTTAGGTCCGGGTTTTTACCTTAGCACGGAGCCTCCCTCCAGAACTTCAGGCGTCGACTCAAGCACCCTGCTTGAGTGTCTAAACCATAACACAACCTGAGCTCCCACACTCGCCGCCCAAGTTGGCTCTTGCTCTCCCAGCCCCAAGCCTCCCCCACCTCCGTTAACGGCTCTTCCATCCTTCTAGGGACTCAGCTCGAAAGCCTCGGTATCACCTTCCTCACGTAACCGACACCAGACGCCGACACGGGTCCCCTGGGCTCTCTCCCTTCACAGTGCTTCCAGACTCTCACCCCGTTTCTCCTCCTCGACTATTTCCCCACCCTGGCCCCAGCCACCACCACCCTCTTGCCTGGATTATGACCATTATCTCCTAACTGGTCTCCTTGCTTCTATCTCTACCTGTCTTATTCCGGTCTGTTTTCAACAAGCAACTGGAATAATCTCCCTAAACTGTAACTCTGATCACGATACTCTTCTGCTCGAAACCCTCGGGGGCTCCACGGCTCACTCAGTGTGAGAGCCAAAAGCCCGAGCAACAGCCCAGCCCGAGCCCCTGCGGATCTGGCCGCTGGCCGCTCTCTGACCTTGTTTCTCAAACCCCTGCCTCGTACACCCTGCTCCAGCTCTTTGCGCTTCCTGCTCGCCGCCAGCACGACAGGGCCTCCGTTCTTTCTGCTGTACGTATTCTTCCCCTGGCCCACCTTTTATCGCCACCCCCGGGTCTCTGCTTAAATGTCACCTTCCTAGTGAGACCTTCCTGGCCGGCAGCCCATCCCGAGGCTCTACCGCTCTCTCCCCACTCCTCCCAGGCCCCCTCTCTGCTTAATTTTTCTCCATAGCACTTACCTTCCAACCCTCCAAACAGAATTTTATTTCCATTATAGAGTAGAATAGAAGCTTCATGAGGACAGACTTTTTGGGGGTGCGTATGATTTTGTTCATACAAGTATCCATAGCCCCTAAGACAACATCTAGTAGGTGCTCAGTGAGTGACAGGTGTTCTTATCTCCTGGGGTTTCACAGGGGGACTTCCAAGAAGCCATCTACTCCCTGACATTGAAAGCCACATTTTGCTCCCCACTCACCCGCCAAAAAGTGAGTCTACATCCTTCAAGTTCCAAAGGGATTTGTGACTCAAAAGAAGTTAAAGAATCACCAATACAGACACTTGAATTTAACAAGGATTATTACAGGTTTCTTCAAATGATGGGTCAACTTCATTCATAGCTATTTGCTAAAACAGAAACAAGCAAGCCGTGAGTGGGGGATTCACGCTGTGCTCTTCCTTCAGAATCGCCAGCACAGGGGCCAGAGGTTTGCCGCGGGAATTTTCATGAGCAAATGGTGACTAGGTAGCACTACTCTCCTCACTGTCTTTGAGCCAGAAAACAGGTGAGAAGGGGTGAAAATGTGCTTCACAGATCCGGAGCGGGCTGTGATAGTCACGCAAAGCTGAAAACGAAGCACATGTAAGGCCACTCACGCACACGCGGCGCATGGAAAGATCCGGGTGAGCGGCTGGTTGGGCAAACAGCTACATGCCCCATCCAGGCCATCACTCTGGCCCCACTGAGAAATTACCAGGATCTAGTCCCAAAAATAACAAAACCCGGCCCTCTCTCCTGCCCACCCACTCACTCACCCCTCAATTCCCAAGCAAGATAAAAACGAGGAACCCCACAAAGAAAATCATTGGTCATCCATCAGGTATGCAAACATCACTGTGTGAGAGTCAGACTCCAGCGAACACATGAGATGGCTTACCTTCTCCTATCATAGAGACCCCCACGGACATGCCCATGAACTTGCTTTTGGTCCATACATGAGTGTTGACGCACAGTTTCTTCTCCTTGCACTCACAGTAGAAGCAGGAGATAGGTGGGTGATGGGACACCTGCTCAGCCACAAACCTTAGCTTGTAGCTTTCAGAAGGGTCACTGGCCGTCAGGTGTTGGTGGCCAGGAGGAGAGTGGGGAGCAGTCCTCTTTGGCTTGACCTTGTCCTTGGGGACTTCCCAGGAGCAGTGAAACGTCTCACCAATGATGGGGTTGTAGGGCTTCTTGGCCAAGGCCCCCTTGCGGCCCTCGTGGAAGGAGGTGAGGTAATACTCCACAAAGCCAATGACTCTCTCCTCGGGCGTGGCTCCCGCCGCGATGGCCAGCAGCAGGTCCGGGTGCGCCATGAAGTCCGCATACATTTCCAGCAGGGACCGCTTCTCCAGAATGAATGTGGGAAGCACCACCTGCATTTGGGAGGAGGCAAAGTCAGACAGGAACCCCTGGGATGACATGACGGGGCGGAAAGAGACACGCGTGGAAGCTGCAGCCACGCCAGGCAGACGCACCATGGCTGAAGCCAGGGGACAGCTTCTTTCGATTTGTGCAAAATGACGAATCGGGGGAAATAATGTGGCCGAAACTGGAAGTAGCTGTGGTGGTGGCATCAAGACCAACCTGGCTTCGGGGACAAGACTGTCCTGAGTGATTCTCTTCTCAGTTCATGTGAGATAACACAACGGCCTCTGTCTCTGTCCACTGCCATCCGCCTGTTACACCACACAGCTCTGTCACACTCCTCATCATTTAGAGGGTGAAGAAAACAGCTCGGAAGGGCTTTCTCATGACCTTCCCAACGTCAGGCATGACCAAGGGGGCTGCTCGGTGTGTTCCCACAAACATGGACATTGGGGTTTGCCGGTGCCGCATTAAAGGGGGTCCGGGTAGAACGGACCCACCAGCAACCATTTGATAATCTCCGTCACGAGAGAAGCCTATAAAACCCACCGAGGTCAGGGCAGAACAGGCGTGGGGCAGGGCCCCGGCCCAGGTCTCCGGGAGGCAAGGCCAACTACCAGGCAAGTGTGCACGGAGCTGCCGCAAAGCAGAGGGGCCATGTGGGCCAGAAGAAGGACCAGAAGTCACGAAGCAGCAGCTGGCATTGAACCTGGGTTTGTTACTGGCCCATGACTGAAGGTAAGTAGAAATCAGGGTGGCTCTGTCAGGGGTGGGACACAGAAACTCCTTGTCGATCCAGAGTGGTCACTCAGGTGCCATACAACCTAAATGCCTGTAACCCTGTGATTAGTTACTTAAAGCAAATGAAGGATCTTGTGACACTGGCGAGCAGGTAACTCATTACTACTGCTCATACGCGGAGGAGAGCGGCCTGTTTCCCACTGCTCGACAGTGACCTTGACGTGACTCTCAGTGCCTGGATGTTAACGTCCCCCCTGCGTAGCCGCGCGGCACAGCCTTTCTGACCTGGAGCATCTCACGCTGCTGCTCCTCCTCACAGGGAATCACAGGATGTTGAAGCTGGAAGCCTGGTCTTGACCTGCTGGCTCCTCCTTGCCCCCCTCCAAGTGAGGAAAGAGGATCCACACTAGTTCAAGGTCAAGCAAGTTGACCAAGGCCATGCAGCTGGACTGTGCTCCCTCCTTACACAACCAAGCCTGTCCTTCCTTTCCACAGTCACTAACTCGCAGGAGGACATTTGCAAGGGGGCACCTCTCTGGGCGTGAACATTTCAGCTCAAAGATCTGTAACCCTGACTCTGCTTCAGCTTGCTAAGGCCCGTCCTTGCTGAGCACGTCACTGGAAGACAGAGGTTCTGAGAGAAAGAGACAGACAGACAGACAGGCATGAGATCAGCAAAGCACAGGGGTTTCTGAGAAAAGGAGAAAGGCCAGCCCACTGGACAGATGAGGCTGGTATCTTTTTTAATGTTCTATCTTTCACCTATAAATTGTGTCAGAGGAAAATGCACCTGTATTAAGTAAAAAAGTGGCCAGATGTAAAATTAGACATGTAACACAATCCAAACTTTCTTATTTTTTCTGAGCACCTTTCTGCTTTGCTTTTGTAATGGACTGGAAGAAGAAGCATCATTTAAGATACAACTACAGCAAATTAAAGGAGATGCCTAACCTTCTCTCTGCTACAACTTAACCAAAGTGAGACACGGGCTGCTCACGGATCTGAGCTGCCCAGGAAAAGTACGCCCTGGGTCAGGACGGCCTGCAGATGCCGCTGCGACTACTGCTGTGCCTCTCTGCGGGACCGGGCGTCATTCAGCAGCCATCGCGAGCCTCAGGGGTCCAACTCTCCCAGGCTGCTCCTCTCCCGGTGGCTTCCCACCATGCACGGGGAAAGCGAAATAACCCCAAACACTCATCCTCTCTCCTTCCCCTGCCCCCAGAGCCCCTTGAGCTCTCCCCCAAGAGCTGCCCCAGCCAGGTCATGCAGCTTAGGGACTGTGGACTTCAGTAGCCCAGGCAACCCCCTCAATGAGGCTGAATCAATGAGAGAAAAAGAAGCCACAGTGTCCACATCACCGGACTACCCCCAAACCATGCCCCTTCCTGTTCTCTCCCTTCCAGGGCCCCAGGACCCCGATCAGGAGGCAAGGCGGGAGGGAGCAGGCAGAATGACAGCGAGGGCCGTCAGCCCTGCCCCCCAGAACGCCAAGGGAAGGTGACTCCACGACCTTGACGCCCACCCTCCTCCCCACCCCCGGCAGCAACGGGGCTGCTCTGGACACAATTCCGCCTCTGGACAGCAAGAATCCCCATGTCGGTAGCCGAGGTTGAAATTGCAGGGAAAGAATCAGCTACAATACGTACTTGTGTACTTTTGAAAAGGCAAGAGTTTAAAGCATTTTTCCTTATTCATCATTTCTGAACTCAGAAGCTGAAGGATTAAAACAAAATGAACAGGAAAAAGAACTCCACTGAGAACCCCAAATCACTGATCATCAGAACCAAAAGAAACCTTCAAGATGATGGAATTTGCCATGGCTGGTGTGGCTCAGTGGATTGACCACTGGCCTTCGAAGCAAGGGTAGCTGGTTCGATTCCCAGTCAGGCAGGGCACATGCCTGGGTTGTGGGCCAGGTCCCCAGTAGGGGACATGGAGAGAGGCAGCCACACATTGATGTTTCTCTCCCTCTCTTTCTCCTTTCCTTCCCCTCTCTCTTAAAAAACAATAAAAGAAAAGGTGATGGAATCAACACCAGTCTCACAGGTGAGGGGACAGAGACCGGGGGACACAGAGCAGCAGGGAACCTCAGAGCTGCCCCCCGACACCCCAACTTCTTTCCACGACACACCATGATGATCTGCTTCTGGTTAACAAGCACATTTTCCTTCCCTCAGAGGACGAGGGAGGCAGAGTTCACTGGACACAAGAACTGGGAGGCTCGGCGTTCTACTCTCACTGATTAATAGTTAATTGTGGGGCAGGAGGTAGCAGAGGGGAAGGGTAGGACAGGAGCTCCACCTTCTAGTTCATTCTACTCCTCCCAGAATGACAGGGAAATCCACCAGTGAGAAAACCATCATTAACTTTACAGCTGGTGGGAAGACCTTCGGCAGTTCAGAAAGGGCGTGCAAGGCCACCACAGAAAACGGGAGGGACAATGGGTGCTCCTCAATCAAAAACGGAACTGCCTTACGACCAAGCAATTCCACTTCTGGGTATAGACCCGAAGAAACCCAAAACACTAATTCGAAGGCATGCATGCACCTCAGGCCCACTGCAGCATCATTTACAACAGCCCAGAAATGGAAACAATCCGAGTCCCATTAACAAATGAGTGGATAAAAAAGCGCTGGTACGCACATACAGTGAAACATTACTCGGCCATAAAAAAGAATGAAACTTGAACACTTGCGACAGCATGAGTGAACCAACAGGGTATTATGCTGAGTGAAATCAGCCAGTCAGAGAAAGACAAATACCCGTGACACCAATTACACAGCATGTGGAATCTGAAGAACAGAATAAATGGACAAAATTGAAACAGAGTCATAGATACAGAGGACACCCTGATGTTTGCCAGAAGAGGGGACTGAGTGGAAATGGTGAAGGGGTTGAGAAGTACAGATCGGCAGTTACAAAACAGCCACAGGGATGTAAAGTACAGCACAGGGAACATAGTTGGTCACAGTGTAATAACTGTGCGTGGTGCGGGGGGGGGGGGTACTGGAAATATAGGGGGACACTTTGTTATGCACGTGATTGTTTAACCACAACGCTGCACACCTGAAAAAATGCAAAATAATACAGAATGGAAACTAATTGAAAACTGTGAGTACAACTCAAAAAGAAAATGGGAGGACACGCCCAGCCAGCCCCGTGGAAAAGCGCAGGCGGAACTCCCTCGCAGGTCTTGCAGCTTTCGGTGCTGCCCACCTGCATGTACTTCTCCACACCCCGGCCAGGCTCTTCTTGCTCAGATCTGCACCGGAGAGGATGGTGAGCCTGGCCCCCGGCTCCCTCTTGTCTCACAGCAGCCCTCGATCTGGCCTGCAGCCCTCCCTCACCGGTGCCCTCCAGACACACACATTCACTCCCGCTTCCCCTTCGGCCCTCTCCCCCCTGCCCCGTGCAAATGCTTCGCAGCTGCGCAGCTCACAGGACACCCCCTCTGTGAAGCTGTCTCCAGCAACTCCTGCTCCCAAGGCTAGACCAGCAAACCGCCTCCTCCCCGTCTTCACTGCGCCCACGCTTCTCTCCATCACAGCATCCACGGTGCTCTTTTTGCTCTTCATAAACTTATCAACAGCATTATGGGGAGGATTTGGGAAACTTCTACAATGGGCCCTTTATGAAATAGTATTGCATCAATGTTAAATTTGCCAAGTGTAACAATTGTATTGCGTAAGAGGAATGTCCTACTGTTCAGAGATACTGCAACACTCCAAGTGCTTCCTCAAAAAATAAACCTACACATACGTGCGCATGCGTATGTGGGGCTGTGGGGCGGGGGAGAGATGAAAGAGGCAGTGGAGAAGGAGAGAGGAAAGAAGGGAGAAGAAACGCAAAGAGGCAAAATGTTCACCAGCCAATAAAGGTGATACGTGTGTGGGAATTCATCACACTATTCTCGTAACTCTACTGTAGATTAGAAAATGTGCAAAACAAAAACTTGGGAGGAAGAAGAAAATAGGCTCTACTGCAGATGCAACACCTGAGAACTGACCAGCGTTCCGAGATAACCCTCCTGAAATTGCACACGCAGGGAGTGCGGTGTCACAGCCAACGCCAAGTCCAACGCACTGGATATGGATCCTGAACTTGACAGTGAGGCCATGGCTTTGGCCGAGACGGGAAAAGGAGAACAGGTGAGAGACAGAGGAGATGGGTCGGAGTGGAATGACCATCTCCCCTTTCACCTCTTCTTGGTAGGTTTTGACAGTGTTTGTGCAGAACGCCAGACAGACACCTTTCAAACCAGCCCTTT